TAAATTTTAAAGAAATATCATTAAATGATGGTATTTTATAATTTGATGGTCCTATTGAAAATAACATTCCACTATTTATCCATTTATTTATAATTATATTATTATTATTATTATTTAAATTTAAATTATTATTAGTATCAATTAAATTATTTAAATTATTTAAATTATTATCAATTAAATTATTATCACCCCATATTAATTCTTCCATTAAATATAAACCAATACCTTGTGTAAATGCACCTTCAATTTGATTAATATCAATAGCAGGATTAATAGTATCACCTATATCCATAATAATATGTGTTGATAATATTTGCCAATCACCTGTTAATATATCTATTTCTACTTGACATACACTTGTACCACATACATAATATAATTGTGGATTACCTTTTAATGTTTCTTCATTAAATGTTTGTTCTCCATTATCATTATTTGAAGTATTATTAGAATTATTACTATTATTAGAATTATCATTATTATTATTAGAACTTGTAGTACGTTTAGGTTTATAATATCCAATAGCACTTAAACATATTCTATTAAAATAGGCATAATTAATTAATTCACTCCATTCTTTTTTACTTAATTTATTATTTTCATTTAAATTATTTTCATTTAAATTATTATTATTTTCATTAAATAATTTATTTTTTAAAGGTAATAATCTTTGATTTAAAATATCACATGCAACTAAAGCAGCACCTGCAAATAAATCAGTACCCATACTACCACATGTAGAAATAGGATTAGGTATAATATTAGAATTAGCACTTGATATATTTATCAATTCAGTTGGTATTCCTAATTTATCAGATACACACATTACTATTTTAGTATGTAAACCTTGTCCAATTTCAATTCCACCTGTATTTATTAATACACTTCCATCAGGTGCATATATATTAATTTGTGTACATCCTTGATTCATAAATATTTCTTGAAATCCAATTCCAAATTTAGAAGGTATCATTGATAATCCTCTTTTTTTATATTTATTATTTAAATTAAATTCATTTACTTGT